TAATTACACTGGAGTATGTTCACTATGTATGATTCGTGTTAACTGTAGAAGTATTTTAGGCGTGAATCCCTAAGGGCCTAGTAGGCTATTTAAGAATTTGTAAGTTGTGCAAGAGCCACCCGAAGGCATCTCTTTGAACTTTGCTTTTGCTGTTTTGCCGTCGGATACTGAATTAGCGAGCGTTCCCGCTTCGATCGCGCAATCCTTCACTGAGGGAGATCCTGTTCACAAGACTGCTTCACGAATATTAGCTCGACGTTATCCAACGTCAAGACATAAATTAGAAGTCGTTTTCTCATCTTTTGGACTTGAAGTTTGATCAGAAGCTCGCTGCATTCAAACGTGATCTCGCCGACAAACAAGCTGCCACTCAGTCTCAACTATAGAAGCTGAAAACAGTATCTAAGGCTTCGAGTTCTTTTAACTTTAAAGTACAAGACGAGTTCAGCAACTCTGCTGGATGCAACAGACGGGCCCATCAAGACCATCTCAGAAGGAAACTTTTCAGCAGCCAAATTATTTCGTTCCGGGGACAAGAACCCCGCTGTTTGGGTTAATTAGGCAGCAGTGGAAGAGTACGAATCGGACAAACTCGCCGAAGATTCAGAGGAAGAGAAAAAACTCTGATCAGCGGCAAGACGAGCGCTAGCTAAGATCCGGGAGAAAAAGTGGAAAAATGCGTCTAGCTGGCCAACTCTACAGCTACCCGCTTTACATCCAGTGAAGCTCCATCTACTCATGGTCTGTCCACTGGCAATTATTTTTCTTCTAATCAGCCTTTTTGTTTCTTTCGCATGCAGTCCTTTCGTGGACGTCAGCGTGAGCCTCAACAAGCAGACAAGAATTTCAGCTGCTGCCAACGAGGCCACTGAGAAAATCCATCTTCCTGCCCAAGCCGTTTCAGAGGAACCGCTGCAGCCCCTCCAAGCAGTAAAAGTACATACTCATGGCAAATACCAAGCTGCATCGAAGAAAATGGGATAAGATGAATATATAATTTATTCAATTTCAGCAAACGATTGGGAGACTTTGAGCCAGTTGAACTTATTGACAACTTTGCTGAACCATGTGGTTCAAGGTTTTTGGAAGTCTTGAAAAGACAATTTATTCTAAGAGGCTCAAAAATCTCAGTAGCTGTTCAATCATCGTTCGCGTAAATTTTTGATATGTCAATTGTGTCCATCATTTTTGACGCTGTCATGGCAGCCGCAAACTTCATATGGCTTTGGACAAAAATCAACTTTTTTGACATAACTCTGTATTTTTTTTTTCAGTTTAGTTCGTCTTTTTCCTGAATTTCACCAATTTTGTGCATTTCATAAGCATTCTGGCTTCATAAGCATTCTGGATTATATTTCGACTTTTTAAGAAAATAGTAAAATCCAAGATGGCGGATCCAAGATGGTGGGTCAAATGACGTCATTTGACGTCATGGGACGTCACAGCCAAAAGATATGTTATCATTTTAAAGAGCAAGCTCAGGGCTATGTATTAAATAAGGGTTAATTTATTTCTCTGTGCCTTAACAGAACGAAAGCCCAAAAAGGGGGTCTCATCCCCCTGGTACCACGATGGGGGTATTAGTCCGAGGGTTAACAATTGCACTAGCCATGATGATGAATGAATGAATGAATGAATGAATGAATGAATGAATGAATGAATGAAAGACTGAATGAATGAAAGACTGATTATCAGGACGAGTTCGCGTGTGGGCCTGCTGTTGTTAACCTGTTGTCAGTTTCCATACAGTTGGAGTTCTGGAAGAAGAATGTTTCTTATCTCAATTCCAGCGTTTTGCAGACGTTGCTCGCAGACTATCTCGTATTGTATACTCGGATGTTAGCGCTGTTGGATTTGGTGCTTTTATTGCCATTAATTGTTGACNAATGAATGAATGAATGAATGAATGAATGAATGAATGAATGAATGGATGGATGGATGGATGGATGGATGAATGAATGACTGAATGAATGAAAGACTGATTATCAGGACGGAACGCACTATATTTAAGTTAAAGGCAACCTTAAGGTTAATGTAGCTTTTTGAAAACATATAGGTGCTTCTTGCTTTATTGGCGATACTATTTTTGATGGGTATTAGATTCTCTTTATTAACATTCCACCCTCAGCTCAGTTTTCTGATAATCGCTCAGCCATCCAGTCCAGTGAAGTGATTTGTCGGGCAGGCTATTTCTGATCTTCTGGCCTCAGGTTCAGTGGTCGAGTGCGCGTGTGGTCCTGCTGTTGTTAACCTGTTGTCAGTTTCCATACAGTTGGAGTTCTGGAAGAAGAATGTCTCTTATCTCAATTCCAGCGTTTTGCAGATGTTGCTCGCAGACTATCTCGTATTGTATACTCGGATGTTAGCGCTGTTGGATTTGGTGCTTTTATTGCCATTAATTGTTGACATGCCTGTTTCGCACAAAAACTGTGATTCTATGTAGACGAACCAGATCGAGTTCCACGTATGTGGCGAGAATTCCACTGTGTTCGTTTTGCACCTCTTCTTTCAGGGTGCTCTGTTGAGTGGTTTCACGTAGGGGCCAAACCACCCCCCAAATGTTTCGTCAGTTCTTGGGTATTTAACATTATTTCGCATTACTTAAAAGTATTGACTCTTTCTACACCAAACTTGGCAGATGAGCAGGAGACCTATTGCCAATTATATTTACGTGAAAAATGTCAGTAAATGCCAAAGTTGTGACNCACTGTGTTCGTTTTGCACCTCTTCTTTCAGGGTGCTCTGTTGAGTGGTTTACTGACAACCAAGCTGATTCTGGTGGTGTGAAACACTGTTCGCAGCAACTCGTGGGTGATATATTTCACACCGGCCGCCAAAGAAAGTAACATCAAAATAGAGGCTGAGTTGATACCTCGTTCATTTAACGAGAAAGCTAGCTGATTACTTAAGCAAGATCGTCGATTTTATGATTGGTCATTTACAGTAGCTATTTTCATAAAGTAACCTCTTATTGGGGTCCCTGATTACTTTCCTAAAAAAAAAGGTTTCGAGTTTTCCCAGTTTCTTTTCGAAGATTCCTTAGCATTTAGTTGGGTAGGAGAAACCTGTTGGCTGGTGCCACTTGTTTCTATAGTTAAAAATGTCATCCGCCACGTATATCTTTGTCAATGGAACTGGTTATTCTTTATTGGCCTTTCAGCTCCCTTTTGACCCTTTTTGGTGGATCGCAGGGGGGTTTTCATATCGTTTGTTATTGATATTATCTTCGTTCAGAACTGTAAAGATGTTTATCTCCATGGGGCAAATACTAGTTCCCTTTTTGACAATTTTAGTTGCTTGTCGGGGCTGTACAGTACAGTGTCCAGTAGAACCTGTCTATGGAGAAGTCATGCCGCGCAGCCACGATTACACTCTTCTAGGCCGTTGGGCCTAGACTGCGAGCAGNTTTTCCCAGTTTCTATTCGAAGATTCCCTAGCATTTAGTTGGGTAGGAGAAACCTGTTGGCTGGTGCCACTTGTTTCTTTAGTTAAAAATGTCATCCGCCAGGTATTTTAACTGGTTTTTCTTTATTGGCCTTTCAGCGCCCTTTTGACCCTTTTTGGTAGATCGCAGCGGGGTTTTCATATCGTTTGTTATTGATATTCTCTTCGTTCAGAACTGTAAAGATGTTTATCTCCATGGGGCAAATAATAGTTCCCTTTTTGAGAATTTTAGTTGCTTGTCGGGGCTGTACAGTACAGTGTCCAGTAGAACCTGTCTATGGAGAAGTCATGCCGCGCAGCCACGATTATACTCTTCTAGGCCGTTGGGCCTAGACTGCGAGCAGTCTCTCCTTTCCTCGAAAACTGTGAGGAAGAACGCAAAGCGAACGTGACTGTGAGTGTGACCTTCGAGCGGCGATGCCGCAAGCCGATCGCCGCTAGGATGTCACGCTCACAGTCACGCTTGCACGCTTACTTGTTTTGCGTTCTTTCCCACGGATTTTCGAGGAAAAGAGAGACTGCTAGCAGTCTACGTTGAGCCATGTAATTTTTGTGCGGGACTGCCCGTTTATTATGTGTTGATCTAATTAGGTGATTACACTGTTCTAGGCCGTTGGGCCATGTCATCTTTGTGCGGGACTGCCCGTTTATTATCTGTTGATCTAATTAGGTGATTACACTGTTTTAGGCCGTTGGGCCATGTCATTTTTGTGCGGGACAGTGCCCGTTTATCGTGCGTTGATCTTAGGTGATTACACTGTTTTAGGCCGTTGGGCCATGCCATCTTTGTGCAGGACTGCCCATATATAGTGTGCTGAATGCAAGATTTTGACCTCTGGGCCTTCCTTATGGTCTGAACTGCGCGTTGTTGCAGTTTTTCTATTTGTTCTCGCATTTCTTTTGCTATCTTTCAAGTCTACAAAATGGATGTGTTGGTTTTATCAACTGAGTTGATAAGTGAATTGGCCACCGTAAAGAAATTCGAAAGCTGACGTTTCGAGCGTTAGCCCTTCGTCGTTGATAAAACCAAATTATTTTTGTTATACTCCCCACCGACGCAGCACCACAGTTTCTTCAGAAACTTACCCCCTCTATTCAAAGTGGATGTGTGTTTACTTCAAAGATTGCCCACTCAAGAGATCCAGACGGCTTCACAAGTTAACGGAAGGTCTTCCCTTGCGTTCCACTAAAGCCAAGGGCCCCTTCAACAACGGAGCGTTATTCAAGTGCTTTGAGGAAGTCGTTTGTTTGCCGTCTGATGGAAATGTCATTTGCTCCTTGTTTGGAGTATTTTGCTGCAGCAGAGTTCCCTCTACTTCACACTTGAGTCTGCCTGTTGTGGCATAAATTGGGCACACTATCGGTATGACTCTCCGAGTTGTTACTTGACTTGTGATAGAAATGTTCTCGGGGCGACTAAAATTGAGCTTGCAAAACCTGTTTCCATAAAAAGGGGGCGCTGTTACTCCCGAGATGATTTTGAGGATATGTAATAGGTTTGCGGGCCCCAATGCTAACCTCTCTAATCTTCGCTTAGCTACAATTTTCTTGACTGCCTAGTCGACTTTTAGCTGCTTTTCTCCGCGTCAACATGTTAGCCAGCCTTCGTTGTTGTGAGGTTAGTTTTTGCGATGCATTTGTCAGGAGTTATGTATGCAAGAGCAAAACAGATGTTTATAAGGATGGCGCCGATGTACGTATTGTCGGCACAATCAGATTCTGTATCTTGTCCTTTTCATATACTTTACTTATACGTTTGTGCCTATTTAGGCCTGTCTTCTTCGTTGCCGTTTTTTTCGCTCTTTGCAATTTCTTAAAGCTACTTCTACTTAAAGTTTTCATAAAACGGGTGTGAAATAAACTAAGATTAGGGAAATAGTTATGCATCTACTATATGTAATTTTTAGTTTTAATTTGACGAATTTATTTTCTTCGGAGATATTAGCATATTTTGCTCTCAAAAAATTCGTAGTAAAATAAAGTATTACACTTGGCATGCGTTTGCAAACTAGGATATCTTAAATGATTGTTCGATCTACATAGCTTAAGAGCAGGGGCCGCTAAGGAGCAGACGTCACCAATCGGACACTTTAATCGTCATCGTCACAATGTCCCCAATTAGCCCACATGGGCTATATACATTGACACTCAGATAAAGTTCTTACTTACTTACCTACTTACTTACTTACGGCAGATGGAGGACTGATCGAGCCAAGCACGGCTATGTTACGATTAGTTAGAATCTTTACGTTCAGTGTCTAGAAGTTTGCACACTTAGATTCCATTGTTCTCTTTCTTTATTTTTGAAAGCGGGCATCAATAAACGAGATGCGCGCCCCTGATGCTGTGTTCGTGTTTATTAAGATTAGTTACGAAATATTTTATAATCGTTTCAGGGTGATTAGAGTATAAATATATTTTGTAACGTTTCGCTAATTAAACTGGAGTATGTTCATCATGTATGGTTCGTGTTAACGCTAGAAGTATTTTAGGCGTGAATCCCTAAGGGGCTTGTAAGGGCCTAGTAGGCTATTTAAGTTATGCAAGAGCCACTCGAAGGCATCTCTTTCAACTTTACTTTTAATTTTTCTGTTTATCACTGCTGTACTTTCTTTATGATGATGTAACGCTCGCTGTATCCTGTATGAATAAGCGACATCAATAGACGAGATGCCCGCCCCTGATGCTGTGTTTGTGTTTATTAAGATTAGTTCCAAAATATTTTATAATCGTTTCAGGGTGATTAGAGTAGTGAAACCGGAACTGAAAATGCGCCCCTCTTTACTTTACCTAGCGTCGCGCTTGCATTTTACACTTGTTTGGTTTAACAGTGGATTTCGCCGCACACAAGAAACATGTGACACGTGGCAGGTCAAAAGGGCCTTTTGCCTTTAGCATGTGATCCAGTTCTCAGAAAGTGAACTTTTGCCCCTAGCCTCATCATTTGGATGGACTGAAAGAAATATTAATCACAGGACATTTAGCAAATGATCATTTATATTTCTAAGAAAACGCGAAAGGCCTAAAAAATCAGTTGAGAAACTTCTGTTTGCAATTGTTCTACAAGAATTTCTTACTCTAATGAAGTTAGAAATGTGCGCACGTAAATCTTAAAGTTCTTGGAGGGAGGGGGAAGGGCGACAACATGTGGCGAGGCAGTGGGGGTTGACAGTCTTGACACCCTTACCCCTCCCTTGAAGGTATTATCTTCCATATATCTAACTTAAAATATTGTTAATAAATATTTGAAGTTAATCATATGCTTGAAAGTTAATTAGATCCCGCTTTTCAGGTGTGAAACTCAATATTATTGCATACAGAAAGTCCTC